GGATTATTTATAGGGGTAGTTCGGGACAACAAAGTATTTTACGATTGATGTTACTTTATGACATCTCAGATAGGAACGGAAGATGTTTGATTGAGCACTGAGGAAGTACTAAATTGGGGCAGCATGGAAATGGGTCTTTTCTTTCGTCTAAATGAATCTATTTGTCGTTAATAAGAAAATGGGCAAACCCTGTGTAGAAGTATTGAAGATGAATGCGTATCCCTTGTTATATTACAAATCCATGATTCTGTAATAATTTATTATCTTTGGTGATTCGATGGACTGATAAAAGATTAACGATTACTTTGGCACATGTAGCAACTGGGTTCAAGGACAAAGTTGGTGAGAAATTTATTGTACCTTGACCTGCTATTGCTGATAAAGTGCCATCAGCTATTTTAACCTTTTTATTTCTGGGATATGGACTAATATGTAGAGAAACGATATTAGGAATTTGTCATATAATCACAAGCACCTGAATCAATTACCTTAGGGGCTTGAGAAACAATCTTTTGAGGCCCTAAAAGCATGAGAATCAGAATAATCATGTGAGTGCACTAAAAAACACGAAGCACCTGAATATTCTAATGATGAGAAGAGATTCATAAGTAGCTCAATTTCCTGTTTGTTGAAACCTCCAATTTCAGAATTGTTTGTTGCATTTTCTTGACGGTAGTTTTCAGAATGAACAGCATGTGCATGTTGAGAAGCCAGTGCCACAACATTGTATTTTACCTAAAATATTTCTAACATTTTATGGCTCTTTTATGGACGGTGATGACTGGGAAAATAATTTAGTGGGTGTTTGGTCCCCATTTTTTAGGAAGAATGATCTTTTGAATAGAGAATGTGTGGTAGAAAAGTGATGAAAAGTTTTAGATTTGTGTGTAATATTATTTTATTTAGAGATTGTGTGGTTGAAATAAAGAAAGAGAATGGATGCCAAACAAGGGCTAAGCCCCTGTTTGTTATCTATTTTATCAAACATTATTTGATACTGTAAACATTCTCCACCACATATTCACTCAATAAAATATTCTATACACAAACCAATAAAATTACTTTACTTTTCAACAACACATTCTCCAAAAAATACTATTCAAAACTTTATTTCTTCTCCGAAAATGGGAGACAACAAGCACTAAATATCAACCATAGAGATAAACCTTGATATTTGTTTTTAAATCTTAATTTTTTTTTCCACGAAGTTACATAGGTTTGTTTTCACAATTCACCTTTTCTTTTTGATGGGCACATTTGGGCTCGACAAGACCAATATTGGATTGGGACTGGGACTGGGTTTCATCGGGCAGACCGTGGAATTTGACATTCTAATCGAGCTTTGGGTGAAGTGGAAATTACGCAAAACCCTACTTTTCAAAATTCATATTCAAAAATTAGATCACAAATTTAATTTTTCAAAAATAAGATATTTCATGTTTAATTAAATATTAGTTATACAATTTTCATTCGAATCCTAATTAATTTCCCCGAAACCCTAGCAACCATTTTCAATATTCCTCCTCCTCCACTTACTCTTTTCCTCTCACCGTAATCTCTTCTCACTCTCTCTACCAATCCTCATCGGCGACGCCATCTTCGTCGGCAGCCCACACACCATCCCTGTGATACAGCACCGCCACAGATGGCGCAGCTTCGCGAGATACCACTTGACTCCACTTCCACAGACGGCACAACCTTTTCCCCCCTCTCTGCCGATAGCCCAACCTCTCACCACCGCTGCGATATATCGCAAGATACCAGAAGGGGCTATGCCGCTGTGCGAGGGTCACGGATTAGAACCACCGAGCTCGCAGCGGCGTTGTGCCGTCGTGGTTTTGAGATATTTTGGGCATGAAGGATGGCGACCACGATAGATTTGGCCATTTTTGTTTGTTGGTGGTGGTGGTTACTATGGTGGTGTGACGTTTGGGTGGTTTTAGTGGCAGTAGTGGATCGGGCGCTACTGATGGTGGATTTAGAGTTGGTGGTGATAGATTTGGCGGTGGTGATGGTACGTCTGTGCTCTGCGTACTGATTTGGTAGCTATGCTGTGGAGGTGAGGTGAGGTGGTGGTAGTGGTGGATCGGCGTGACGTTTTGCCGTGTGCCAATTTGTTTGAGATGGTGGTAATGGTTTTGGTGGCGACGTTGGCGGTGGTGTTGATTTGTTTGAGCTGCGGTGTACGATGGAAGTATGTTTTGAACGTGGTGGTGGAACTGTGGTGAGATTGGAGGCTGATTGGAGGTGCGATTTGGCAGCGTCGGGAAAGTTTGTGTGGTGGTGGTGGTATGTGAGATCTGCAAGTAGATCTGTGAGATGAGACGATGGTCGTTCTGTGGTTGTGTGGAGTTGTTTTGTTGGTGGCGGTGGTGGTGGTGGTGGATCTTGGTGTTGGTGGTGGTGAAGTTAAGATGTTAGTAGCGATGGGCCCATCGAGGCCCGTCGAGTTGGTGGCGGATCGGTGCGAAGATGTGGTGGTGTTTTCTACGATGTCTTGATTTGTTTGAGGTGGTGTAGCTGTCGGGAGCTGGTGGTGATGGTGGTTCTGGAAGTGACGATGGCAATGGTGCTGCTGGAGTGAGTGGTAATGTGGTGGTCACAAGTTAGTGGTTTGTGATAGTGACAAATTATTTGGTCATTTGTGACAATTAAATTATTTAATCTATAACCAATAAACTATATGTGACTAATGAAAAATATAAATTGCGACAAAAAAATAATATGTGACCGATGATTTGACAATTTATGACGGTCTACTAAGTCGTGACTTATAATATTTGTGATTTGTGACCAATGAATAAGTTGTGATTTATACTTTTTTTTTTTATTTGTGACCGATGAACAAATTGAAACTTATAAAATTTCTGATATGTGATCGATGAACAAATTGTGACATATAAAATTTTTGAATTGTAACTGTAAAATAATTTGTGACGAATCAATTTTTTATTTGTGACCGATGAACAAATTGCGACCTATAAATTTTTGAATTGTGACCATAAAATAATTTGTGACATATAAAATTTGTGATTTGTGACAAATTAATAACATGTGACCAAATATATAGAATTTGTGACCAAATTATATAAAATTGTGGTCTTAATATACTTAATTAATAAAATATATGTTTAATTAATTAATTTAAAAAAATATGAGATTTGAAATTTTAAACTTTTAAAAATCTGAACTTTGAAATTTTAAATCTTATCTCTTAAATTTGAAATTGGTGGAACTTTATCTCTTAGTTATGAAATTTTCCCATGGGTGAATCTAAATAAATAACAAGCTACTTGGGCCTCTTCCTATTTATGAAACCATAGAGTTGAAATCTAGATTTTAATCTAAATTAAAGTCAATAATTAATTTTAACTATATATTTTATAGGATTTGCAACCTTTCAACTACACATTTTATCAATTTTTATCAAAATTTACTAAGAATCAAATTTAAATTCCCATCATTAATTTTTTATATTAAAAGGATAGACAATGTCTATTTACATATTCAAATGCTTGTAATTCAACTAACTATCATATCTATCTTACCCTTTTTCATTTGTTTGAATTCCGAGGCTATTCATTTGTTGACACTACTCATCCGTACATGCCTTCGAGAGAAGTAGAATATTAGCATCAATTAATGATTACATACTTTATCCATCTTGCCATTCTTTTGACGATTCTGAGGCTATTCATGTGTTGACATTACTCAATCCTTGCACCCTCGTAAAGAGAAATCTAACTTAAATTGAATATTGATATCAATTAACGATAATAAGCTTTCTCCATCTTGCTATTTTTCATTCGTTTGGCTCAAGAGCTATTCACGTACATACAACCCTCGCTTGCCCCCATTAAAATTTGAGTAATATTATTTAACATCACTGACATTAAAAACACAATTTGATGTAACGCTAATGTAACATTAAATGAGAAGTATAATGGAATAACCCATTTAATCGTACTTTTCATTGAAGTTATTACTTAACACCATTTAAATTGATATTGTAGCACTACTAGTACTAGATAACATTAATTTTAAATTTTTAATACATTTTTCTATTTCTTCTTTTCAATTACATATTTTCTAATAAAATAATGTTACACGTAAATAAAAAAAAATATTTTCTTTTAATCATACATTTTCCAAAAAATTATTTCAAAATACATTATTTTCAAAATCTCATTAAAATGGGGGCCAAACAGGGGCTGGGTTTGTACTGTCCACCGTATGTTGAATCCCAACGTAAATTTGTTTGGATCATGCTATGTGTGCATAGGAGTTGACATAATGTGAGTGGGGTGGAGCCCATACTACAGTATCTACAGTACGTGGTTCCACCCCATTCACGTTATGTCAACCCCTACGTACACATAGATTAATCCAATTTGTTTTGCAAGAGTCGAACTCAAGACGTTTCAGACTCAAATTGTCAAGGACTCTAAAATTGGTATTACCAACATTATTTTCTAAATTATTATAAATAAATTATTTAAACTTAGCCAATCATGCACCAAGTCCACACTGAATATTCACATGATAGATGGCGGGATTTGTGGGTACAAACAAACAACCGATGATCCTCCTCCCATTTTAGCGGCCATCGGATTGCAACCCCACCCCTCTCCTCTTTCTGAACAAACCTTCGTTACATAAAAATACACGTATTTATGCATACACACGTACAAGGCTAAACAACCTTAAATTCAGGTTCCTCGATTCCTTCTGTTATTAATCTTCGCGTTTCCTTCCTTTATTTGATGCAGCCTCATGGACCTAGTGATTTTTTTTAAAATTTTTTTTCTCTCTACCATTGTTGATCTTTGATATCGTATAAACTGGACGAAAAAAACATCGCAAAAATTGAATTTATTGTTTGGTTTTGTGAATTTAGGGGAATTTTACTTGTTGGAATCTGTAGTTCTTCAGGAAGCTGCATTAGCGTGTTTTTCAATATAATTCGCACACAGATATACACATAGGTACGTCTCATTAGATGGAGAAAGAAAAGAAGAAGTACCCGATTGGGGTAGAACATTACACTCTGTATGAAGAGGTTGGGACAGGTGTTAGCGCCTCTGTTCATCGCGCGCTCTGTTGTCCGCTTAATGAGATTGTAGCGATCAAAATTCTAGATTTCGAACGCGACAATTGCGATCTGGTAATTCCTCTGTTTTTGAATGTATGTATACGTAAAAAATTTCAATTGTTCATGCAATTTGTATTTTGGTGTCATTTTTAATACTGGCTGAATGTTTAGCAAGTAATTGGAATTTTAAATATTTTTTTATATTTTTCGCCGCAAAATTTTGATTTTTTTGAATTTGTCATTAAGGTGTTTAAAATAAAAAATCAGATGCTCTCATACATATATCGTTTGCTTGCACGTAATTAGGGTTTAAGAGTTGGTATATAAATTCAAATCAAAATTGATCTTGTACAATTATCATTTTTATTATATTTTTATTTGTGTTTAAGATGTCAAAACCTACTTCCAAATCTGTAATTTTTTAGCTCAAGGATCCATGATTTCGAAGATTGAGAAGATATTGAATTTAAAATTAAGAAGTTCGATTATTCAATGGGCAATTGCGTGCTTGGCCATAAAGAGTAGCCAATTTACTGAAAAAGGAATCCTTTTGAAGTATTTATAACATTATGAAATTAGTATCTTAAAAACATTGAGCTAAAATTATGGAAGTTTAGCACTGACTTCTTATAAAATACAAAAAGTAAGAAAACAATCAAGTCTGGTAATATCTTATGAGCAATATAAATTGCATTATTCAGTTACAACGTGGAAGAATGCATTGGAAAGGATTTGTTTCTTAAGTGCCGTGACATGGAAATCATTACATCAAAATCCTGTTTGCTAGTTATTCCTTATAGATTAATTCTACTCTTGTTGAATAGCATGCTAATAGTTCTGCACGAAATGTCCAGGTTAATGAATTTGGTTTCTTACTCAGAATGAGCGTTTTGACTGTTTCCATTTTTCATCTTATACTGGACAACATGATAAGTTAGATTTTCTGATTCAGTTCTTGCATTTCACAACCAGAATAATGTTTCACGGGAAGCACAAACAATGGTCTTGGTTGACCATCCGAATGTTCTTAAATCTCACTGCTCCTTTGTTAGTGATCATAATTTGTGGTTCGTAATGCCTTACATGGCTGGAGGCTCTTGTCTACACATATTGAAGGCTGTACATCCAGATGGTTTTGAGGAGGTTGTTATTGCTTCAATTTTGCGTGAGGTGTTGAAAGGCTTGGACTATCTTCATCAGCATGGCCACATTCATCGGGATGTCAAAGTGGGTAGATAAATTTTATTCAAATGTTCTGTGGACAATCTTTGATTAGCTTCCTTGCTCATTATCTTTGTGCCAATTATAATATAGAGTATATTGAACCATATTTGTTATTATGTTATTGAGCACCCAACCTCTTTTCTTCCGTTTTTGTCTTTTTCCTCTTTAATCTTTATATCAATATTTTGGTTAGTTTGACATTTTAAAAAGTTTTACACAAACATGATGTAGCTATTGAGAATCTCTGTGATAATCATTTCCATCACATCTACAGTCTCCTTTTCAAACTTTAATAAGCCAAATTTGGAAAATTGGTTATCTTTTGTCTCCTATTGGAAATTTAGATTGCTGCTGCCACCAAGGCAGTTTCTCCCCTGCATTCTGATACAGTTTGATACACTCAGTAATCTTAACTTACAGCTTGATACATGAGTAAACTTTAAAAAACAAAAACTGGTAGACATCCAAATGATATTGTATTGGCTGGGATAGTGCATACAGTTTTCTTTATTTTTCATGGCTTTAATTATTAACATCAGTTTCTTGCGCTGGCCTTCTTTTAGGCTGGAAATATCCTAATTGACTCACGTGGTGCAATCAAACTGGGGGATTTTGGCGTTTCTGCTTGCTTGTTTGACTCAGGTGACAGGCAACGCATGAGGAATACGTTTGTAGGCACTCCTTGCTGGTATGGTCAAATCCGTAAAATACTTGTGTATTTTACTAAGTTTTCATATCTTGTCCTTTATTTAGCTCTGTATCTTGGGAGTTCCCCCTTTTGTTGCCAGTTGTGAAAAGAAACATATTCTGCATCTTGCATAATAACTTGCACGGCCCATATTATAAAAGAACCTTGGTTTTTAAATTTGGTAATGCTGATCAAGGTATTGTGCATTGTATTGACTTAATTTTTGTTCTACTTTTATTCTGTTTAATGCATGTGTGTTTGTGGTTTTGTAGGATGGCGCCTGAGGTTATGGAGCAATTACACGGATATGATTTCAAGTCTGTTTATATGTTGTTTGCAGTTATCTATTACTCATTGCATCATATTTCGGACATGTTTCTTATTTATTCAGCAATTTTTCAGAGCCGATATTTGGTCTTTTGGTATAACTGCATTGGAGCTTGCGCATGGCCATGCTCCTTTCTCAAAGTATCCTCCAATGAAGGTGCCTTTTTCATTTAATGACATGCTTTCTTTCTGTCTGAAACCCATTTAGCTTTTTATGATTACCATGCATGATATACAATCTACTTCTTTAGGTATTGCTTATGACCTTGCAAAATGCACCTCCTGGTCTTGATTATGAGAGTGATAAAAAGTTTTCGAAGGTATGTTGGCGAAAAATCCATCCTGATTATTCATTGTGAATTGTGATATTTAGATGACATGTATTTTATCGGTATTTGTGGCCCTAGTCTTTTAAGCAGATGATTGCTAGTTGTTTGGTGAAAGATCCCTTAAAAAGACCTTCAGCAAAAAAGTTGTTAAGGCATTCCTTTTTCAAGCAAGCAAGATCAACTGATTATATTGCCAGAACTCTTCTAGAGGGGTTGCCAGCTCTTGGTGATCGTCTCCTGGCACTGAAGGTATGTGATCTTGTGAATATGTTATAAAGTACTACAACCTTTCGATGATTTCTCTATATTGCGTTCTATTCTAATAGAAGTGTATATACGAACTTTAGAGAAAGGAAGAAGATATGCTTGCACAGAAAAAAATTCCAGATGGGCAGAAAGAGGAAATATCACAGGTTCAATTTCAGATCCATAATCACTGCAGATTTTTGTATATTAATATGTCAGGGATCAACAATTTATCATCTTTCTGATTTTCACAGAAATTGTTCTCTGTTAGAGATAAAATTCCACATCGAATAAAAATGAGAAGGTAGACCAATTTGTAAGGGTCTGGACTACTCCTCTTAATAAGGTCGACCTTTTAAGGAACCCCAGATCTTAATATGATATCAAAGCCCGTTAAACTCTAACGAGCAATTCAATCCAATTAAGACTAAAAAAAACTGAGCACGCGAATTTTAAGATTGATATGCTCAAACGAGCCACCATATTGCGTGGGCATGTTAGAGATAAAATCTCACATCGGATAAAAATGAAAGATAGACCAATTTATAAAAGTCTGGACTAATCATCTTAATAAGATTGACTTTTTAAGATGAACCCCAAATTTTAACATTCTCTAAATAGGTCACTTAATGCTATTTGGGTATGTGTACAATTTCTCCTTTTTCTTGAAATCTTATCCACTAACGAGTTTTGATAGAAAAGAAAACAGATATTAGTAGTATAATTGAATATCTATAAACAACAATAAAAACAAGGAATCAAATTTATTTTGTCCTTATAATAATGGTATATTATTATTGTAGTATGCTAAGTTAATTTGGAGCTAGTCACTTTCATTTTTATGTCATTGCACGTAATTTTGTTCGATAAGATCACAACTTAAGGTCAGGATGCCGGTTGTGGAACCCTCAAAATCTAAGGTGCATAAAACTAGCTTTTGATGGCCTGCATGATTGTCCTCTTGAAGCGCACGCATGAATTTCTCCTTTCCTGGAAGCCACTGGTTTATTTAGATCATCTTGCTTGCATGAGCTTTCAATTTTAGAGTAAGGAAACCCCTTTAGAAAAAGGTTAGCAGACTGTCTGAATGGAATTGAGGCTTGCAAACTCCATCCTTGTGTCTATATATACAGTCAAGCTTCCACTTGATATTTTAAAAGATTGAGACACGACAAAGAACTTACAAAACACCCTTTCTAAACCTTTTCCGTGAGCCTCTTTGAGAGGGTTTTCTGTGGGATGATCTTACTATCTTCCAGTGTTAACCGCCTAGACCACTTCAAACTCTACCAGGTTTTAACCCAATAGGCATGAAGAAAAATTGGTGGTCCAGCAAAGCAGAACTCTGGTATAAATTAAATTAATCTTTCTAGGTTTAGAGTGAAAGCTCATTAGATAGGCATCCTAATAAGGTTTTGGTCTGAAAGTGAGATCTTGAAGGGTAGTTAAGGCTTTTCATTTAGTGGGATGCTAATTGGTTAACTGTATTTATTGGAGATAGAAACTGAGTTAATTGTATGTTGGTATTTGATTTCTGAGTTTTTAATGCACTTGGAAACGTGCGCAGAATGAATATAAACGTGGGATTAGTGGTTGGAACTTCAACCTTGACGATATGAAGGCTCAAGCTTCATTGGTAGTAATTCTGTTCAGCCCTTTGTTCTTCCAATTGGTTCAATTGCTGTAAAGTTTGGTTCCTACGGATTATAATGCATTCTCTGGCTGTCAGATCCAAGACGATGATATACCAGAAAAAGATGAAGATATGCAAGGTAAACAACTCCAGCATCAATCATCTTCATCCAAACAATTTCGACAGCTTCAATATCAGCTGTCGTCTGCAAGTCAATATTCAGATATTGTAGATTTGGTATGTACACAACATTATGCAGTTCTATATGAGTGTGATATTTTTCAGACTCTCTTTGGTGTCTTACAACATAATTCTTTGCAGGATGATAATGGTCACTCTGCTTCTTTCTCATCAGCCGACTCCACTGCTAACATGTACATCATCATATTTCGATAATGCATGCATACATCTCGTGACATCACATTTATAAGCATAACCGTATTTACCCTTTTGATTGAGTCACAAGTATGCAATCTCAACACTTGCATCCATACAGTATGGACATTGTCAATCAGTATCTCGGCCCTTTCACGACCTTATCATAAATTTGTTTGATTGCTTCTAATTGAATTTGTTATACATTCTAGAGCTAAATGTGAAAAGTCCAATGGGGATGTAAGCATTTCTGGTTCGACAAGTGAGCAGCAAACATCTAATATAATTTCTCCTGGAAAAGAGAACCGCGTGGAAAATAATTTGTCAGAAAACTCTGAGGCTGCGGTTATTGGAAAATCATCAGATGGAGCCCCTATACATTATCATCAGAGGTGCAATGACTGATCTTTGCTCTCTTGATTTCTTATCTGCATTGCTGTTTATACTTGTGTTACAGGATTATTCCTTCTTGGATATTTCATTAATCCACATGTTGCCAACACAAATATGCAACAAGTGTACTCTGCTGTTGTTGAATTTAGCAGTCAAATTTGACTGTACATCCTCCAAAAGTCAGGCATGACAATAAGGAGTGTTCAAACCTGAGAAAATTGCTAATTACTCCCCTTCGGTCTTTAAATCGTTTTAGTGATCCATTATGATTTAGAAATGGACAAATCAATTCGTTGTGGTTTTGACAGACCCGCGAATTTCCTGTTGTGGTTTTTGTTTTATGCTGCTAATTATCCTTCCTTCCGGTCTCATAACTTTATTTCGAGCCTTCCTCGTACTGATCTTTGGTTATCTTAGCTCAAGTTGATTAGTTGAGCTGGACATGTCAGGTACTTTCTCATTTTAAACACTAGTTCATGAATCTTTGTAAGCTGTTGAGAGGTCTTATTTTTTCCCCTTCCCTTCTCTCTTTCTTTCTGTATGTGAGAATAAAGCATCTCATATATTTCAGCAGTTTTTCCCAGTTTCTTTCAGCGATTTCTCCTTTTTTCATTTTTTTGCCTCACAAAGGTGAAACTCTTGGTATGAAAAAAAGTTTCAAATGATGAACCAGTTCAATATTCAAAGTTTACAGGGATAATGCAGTACTGGAAATTTCTTTCGGAAACCTCTCAATTGGTATTGTGCAAGAAAATTTGCTATATATCACAATTTTTAGAGTCCTCAGCCATAATTTACCCTGTTTGGTCCACATTATTTTTTTTATTCTCATTCTTCTACTCATTAACCACACATTCTTCAATAGAATAATATTTTCCATCACATCAATAACTTTTCCTTCTTTTTAACCACATATTTCTCATCACATCAACAGTAAAAATGCATTCTTACCTTCAAAATGTACACCAAACGGGGGCTTACTTTCTTGCAAATTTTCTGGTTCTCACGTTGTTTTTGGGTTGGTATGTTTTCAATTACGTTGTGCTTCTTCTATTTTCTTAAAACAAATTTGTATTATATGCTTTTCATCCTTTAGCGATAAACTGCAAAATCAGCCCCAGAATTCGTCGAGCTGCAACGGGGCTTTCATTCCACAAACAGTAGATGATGCCCTTCCGGAATTAATTTCCAAAGGTTCAAGAATATCAGGTAAGTTAACTAAATCTTCTTAACTCTTTTTTTTTCTTTACAAAGAACAAGGCTTTTGGTTTGTTATCCATTTTATTCCATGTCTATTCTTGTTTAATTGTATATTTATGGTGCAGCAAATGGTGAAGAACTTGAAGAGAAGGTGAAGCCAGTTGTTCAGCAAAAAGGCCGCTTCAAGGTTACCTCAGAGAACGTTGAGGTAGAAAAGGTTTCTGTTTTGGTCTAGTGTGAGAAATTTTTACGATTACTACTTATTAATTATTTCCTTCTAGGCGGTTGGAGCTCCAATGCTACAGAAAAGCCACAGCATGCAGGTTGGTGTTAGAGAGCAAAATGTAATCTGACATGCACTATATAAATCATTAAAGCTCAACTTTCGGAACAAAGCCAACTCAAAAGATTTACTATGTAGCTTTCGATGTGATTAGTTCCATAACAAAAATAACAATCCTTGATTTTAGGTTTTATTAGTTTTGTTCATAATATATCACAACACAGGCGATATCAAGATTGGTTACCAACAGAGCTAATGATATTCAAGAAAGTAAAACCATTTCAAAATTTAAGATGTAAAGTCTAATTATGGCTGTTGATTTTTTCTTGCTCCATTACATTTTTTATTATACTATCTTACAAGAAGTTATGGGCTGTTTAGGTGATTTCTCAACATCCTGCTATTTCCCCACCACTGCCTTCTGATTCTAGACCATCAAGTTCTGTTGGCCATGCCTTTTTTCCTACGCTGCAGTCGGTTCTGCAAACGAATATTCTTCAAAGGGTATGTATTAGTCTCAGACTCGAGTATAAATCTTTTTATCTTTCTTTTATTCTTTAAAATTTATTTTCTTTTCTCTGCTTTTTCTCCCGCAGGATTGTATCCTTAGTCTAATGAAGCAAGTGTCCGTCTTGGATTCTACAGGTTTCTGCAAGTGATTCATCTTAAACCTAGTTATTTTTCCATCTATTATTCCGACTTATTGTGTCTAGCCACCCCTGCAGACGTAGGATGCACCTCGACAAACATATCCTGCATGGAAAAATCCTTGGTAAGTAATAGCACAAATTTATACACGTGTTTTGTTTATGTGTGCATTTGAGCTGCAATCTATCCCCGTTCGATTTTACATAGCATTCTTAAATAAAACTACTGTGCAGATTTTTATACTACGTGCTTCTTGATTTGAAATACGTGAAGTTAATATTTAGATTTTCTCTCATTGTTTCTCTAGTTGGAGGCAGCTCAAGATAGGGAGAAGGATTTACTTCGTGAAGTAACTGATTTACAGTGGAGGTATCTACAATTATATTTTCTTATGATGTGCTACTGTATACAGATACCTTATTGGATCGAATAAGTTGTAAGATTCTTGTGTTTTCTTTCTTGATGTAGGTTGATATGTGCACAAGAAGAGGCCCAAAAATATAAAACAGAGAATGCTCAGCTAAACTCTTAAGTTACATCGCCCTCAAAGCTCAAAAATAGCTTGAGGCTTGAACTTGATTGACCAATAGAATTTCATTTTGACACTTGATTTATTTGATCGGATGATTTTGTTCTTGTTCAGAATTATGGTATATGAACCACCCAGAATTTAAAATCTGGCAATTGCTAGCTTAGTTTTTGCTCTTGCAATTTTGTCTTAATTTGGTTCGACTAATATGGTTGTGGTTGTGGTGAGTATTTGATATTTCTTGTTCTCATCATTTTATTGAATACATACAATTTTTTTTAATTATTATTATTATTATATTCTACAGGAGTCACTAATATTTGTCTTTTTATTATTCTTTATAAACTATTTATAAATTTGTGAAATGAACCATAATCTTATTTAATCGCGTTTTTATACTTTCGTATTACAAACATAAGTGACCAGGTTTGTAGAAATCATCACTGAAGAGTTATTATTGATTTCACATTTTGGCTAAAAATAGGACTTCGATGAATTTCAGTTCTTCCTTCCCAATTTTTTTTTTTTTCAAATCTTATTGCTTATTTATACTGAAAATTCTCTGAAAATTAATTAGTTGACACGCACCGTTTATGTGATCGATAAACTTAAATCAGTTATATATGGACACATCACTCAGTTATCTAATAGTCCTGCAAGTATGCGACCAATATGGCGCGTGAAGAAATAGCTTTCCATAAACAAAAATAAGCCTATGGTCTTTTCTTTTTTTTCTAAAAAACATGATTTTGAATAGTAAATTTTTGGAGAATATATGATTAAAAAGTAAAAAAAAAAATCTTGAATTGACGTGTAAAATATTATTTTCCGTACAATAGAATTTTTTATACTTCGTTCTTAGAAAGTTGTGTCTTTATACGAAAATAATTTCTTTTTCTAGTCTGACACGAAACGGAGAGAGCGCGATCAGAGAGACGCCAAAGAAACGGGGTCTTCCATTTTTTGATTCTGAGAAAAGGAGGAAGAAAGTCAAAATTTGGAGGAAATATTGAAGTGAAAAAGAGCAAATGGAAGAAGAAGCTATATCATATGTGGGCAGTGGGATCCAAACAAGAAGTGAAATGAAAAAAAGAAGTAAATATATATGAATAAAAGCTCAGATTTTTATGGAATTTTTTCTTGAATCTAAATTTCACAAGCTTTATTAAGGGCAGCCCATAAATTTTATCTCCTTCCTCGAACTCACATTTTTCTGTTCTTTAATGATTAATTTTCTTCAAGTTTGAAGTCTTAGCATTAGAATCTGAACTTGGAAGTTTTGACTTAAAACTCGAATCTTGCATTGAAATTTAGGCATTTGGGTTGTTAAGAATTCGAAGAAATAAAATAAATTGCGGGGGGTTTACTGAGTGGGAGAAATAAATAAATATATATTTTTTTGAAGCTTTGTTAAAAATGAAAGGTAGGTTTGTATTTCGGTTGCGACATTTGGGTTTAGTTTCGAAGAATTTAGAAACTTTGTGAAATTTGGAGTTTGGGAAGGAGATTTAGTTTAATTGAAAGATTGAGATATCTAGGTGTGGACTCGATGCTCCAAGAACTGTGTGTAAAAAATTGAATTTTTGGTTAGGTTTCTGTTTGGCATTGTTAGGATTGCTATTACAGGGATCAACTGTTGTTTGGAAAATGTATATTTGGAATTGGGGTAAAAACCCTAATTTAGATATTTTGGAACTTTTTGCAATGGTGCTTTATTGGATGATCTAACGTTAAGGGAACGAATGGAGCATATAGCTTCTGCACGGGGTCTTGAACGGGTGACGGTGGACTGTGCTGAACCATGGTTTAGATTCTTACATGAAAGGTTTAATTAGGTCTTGCATTGAACTTGTTGGAGCAAGGTCAGGGCATGAATTGGCAAAGCAGAACAAAACAGCACAAGGCGTGTATGAAGCGTATTAACGGTGTCAGACCAGGTCATCAATATCAGACCCAAAGTGGAGGCAGGCCTTTGGAAGCCAACAAACATAGAATCCAATCCCCAATTTCTTTGCAGGATTTTAGGGTTGCCATGGAGCTGAACCCATGGAAACTTGGTGAAGATTGGCCGTTGCTGCTGGAGAAAATGTTTGTTCACAGTTTATGGGCTCATTTTTTGGAAGATAGTTAATTTTGGTCCCTAGCGAATCAAAAGGCATGCTGCACGATGCTGATCTGTGCATTCATGAATTTTTGATCCTATATGGTGTCCCCGAAGTAAATTTAAACTGGGGCAAGAGCAGTAAATATTTTTCTCCTCCTGCTGCAGGGCTGATCTTTGGTTGGAATTACCCCTCATCAGCAACCATTCACAAGAGAAGAATGTCTGATTTTGGTTGCACTGTTTTATGATTAGCTTAACCCTCTCTTCCTATTTTTCTGTTTTTTCTGTAAGGAATAATTTGTGTGGTTCAGAATTTTAGCAAAAAGGTAGGATTGCATGATGCAATAATCATATGTATGTAACTTCAGCATTATGATTGATTGGAATCTCAATATTAACAACACAGTTTCATCAGTTGCAGCTTGTTTGTTTCTGCTTTTGTTCCCCCCTGCTTTCTTGCTGCTTTTGGTGTTTATACCCCTTCCTTTCAGAAACTAAAATTATGGACAGTAAGTATAGTGTCACTACAACAAAAATACTCTTTTACAACACTTAAAAGGCAACATTTGTTGATAAATGTTGCTAAAAGGGTCTTTTGGCAACATTTTAGTAAGTGAATGTTGCCATTGGTTAGTATAAATGAATTTTTGGCAACGTTTTATAGAAAAATGTTGCGATAGACAATTTTTGTAACGTTTATTGAGTGTTGCGGAAAGTTTTATTTTTCGCAACGTTTTTCAAACGTTGCAAAAGGCTTTTCTTTTGCAACGTTTTTCAAACGTTGCAAAAGTAGACTTTTCGCAACGTTTATCAAACGTTGCAAAAAGTGAATTTTTTTACAACGTTTGGTAAACGTTGCTAAAGGTCTCACTTTTCCTCCACACAACCTATTTTTACAAGTTCCACACTTTTCAAATATATTGGAGATGCTGAACTTAGTCCCATTAATGTTAAAAGTCTTATTCTGTTTTATTTGCGGAGTGATTGACAACGGCAGGTGATGCTATATGTGATGAATCTTATTTTCCTGTTCCGTCTTTCACTTATACCAAGAAATTATTCTTTCATATATTCTAACTGATTTTTTTTTTCAAATGCTGAATTTCTGGTTGTTTGGCATTATAACAATAAGTGGTTCCAGATCCTGGAATATTGTGTTTCTTTTCGCCCATTACTGCAAATATTTTACCGGGTTTGCTTCTGATGGTTTGGTTTACATAGAAATGTTTCTGAGCTGATTACAGTGGATTGAATGTTACTGAATGGTTTAGTACTAACTACAGTGTATAAAATATTCCGGTAATGACCTAAGCAAGTTGGTTTGGTTTGTAGTCACCAATCTTGCTGAGAAGACCGTTACTATTTAAGATGCATCCGTCCCAGATAAGATTCCATTAATGGCCATTATATAATGGCGAACAGAGATGTATATACTATAATCTATATTCACCGAGCACTCACCATGGATCCCATGTTTATCTGATTCGGTCTCTCGATTTGAACGTTACATCCATTGACAGGATTGAAGAGGAGGGCTGTTGGAGATTTAGATGACAGAATTGGGAATTCATTTCAAGGGAACGACAGCTTCTCCGTCTGATTTATCCTGTTAGATTCTTGTTTTCATTTTCTTCTTTATTACTCTAGTGCAGGTTCTGATGTTACTACATGAGAATATAGCCCATGTCTAGCTAATGTGTATAAACGGTTTATAATCTGTCAATAATTTTTAATATATATTTTGTGGGATCTACTTGCATTCTCTACTTATCCATACCTTATTTCTATCGATTCATTTAAAATAATTATAAACAACTTCTGAACATGCACAATGTGGACATAAGAAACTCATTCACAATGGGTACTTTGATCTCGATGATCTCGATAGAATGTGTAAGATAAGAGAAAGTCTAAGAATTTAATTATTCTAGACTCCTACTCTAGCACAATACACACACAAAAAAGAGGAAAATTTGATACAAATGGTCCCTAACAGTTGTTTTTTCCTGGCTTGGGCATTCCTAATCTATTATTTTGGTGCGAAGTTGTTCAATTTTTTTTATTGAAGAAGACGATATAACCTAGGCATTGTTTGAGCTCAATTTTTCTAAAAATTCATTTTCTGAAAAATTATTTTTTCAAAATTTACTTTTTATCGAAGAAGACAATATACCCTTAGGCCTTGTTTGAGCCCAATTTTTTTTTTTAATCATTTTCAATTATACATTCTTCAAAAAAAATAGTATTCCACGCAAATTCAAAACTTTTATTTAATTTTTAATTATACATTTTCCATCAATATACTATTCCAAAATGTATTATTTCCCCAAAATTAGGGAAAATTTCAGATAGGTCCCTAAACTTTGCAGGAGGAGCAAATGGGTCCAGTAACTTTATTATTATTATAAAAAAACCGGTGGAAACTAACAAGTTCCATTTTGTTTTTTATATCGAACTAAGACTTTATTGAACAAATTAATTTTACGCATAAGTTGTTTTGTTTATATTTACAGCTAATAAAAAATTACCTAAATTTAAGCACATAAGTAACATGTTAAATAAAAATGTTAATCTTATTATCGAGTAATGATACTATTTAAAAGTTTAAACTTTTATTTTATAGTTAAAAAAAAACTCCGTGTCACAAAATCAATCCTCGTATACTTTTATTTAATTGAGTTATTCATTTATTAACTATAAATATTAGAGCCCCAACTATAGTCTTCATATTTTATTATCATTCGTTGAAAACAAATTAAGAACACTTAAAATAATCATAGAAATATTAGTTAAATAAAAGTCATTTTGTTCATCTTAATTTTTATTCAAGTTTTCACATTTCAAAGAAATTACATAATTTAAAGTATTAAATCACCACTATTTAACCTTTTTTTTCCTTCAAACAGTCGATTCATGCTCTTCAGATTCTGGTTCCCGTTAGCAGGATTCGTGTTTTAGAGGGGAGAAATTGATCCGATTACAGAATAGGGGTTGCAGGTTTTGCTACTAAGGGATTCTTTGCCTGGTTCATTTGGCTTTATGTCCAAAGGCAATGAAACTATGGTGGGTTTGATGATGAGTTGATTCGAACAATTTGTTGGGTCTTTGGGCAGCAATGGAAATTTCAAATCAACCTGATTGTTGGGATGGGAATTATTAGTAAGACTTTTCTTGCTGAAAGTCGGTTGGTTGTGCAATTTTGAGGTTCTGAAACTGCGATTTAATGTCTTCCGAAGCCCAAAATGGCATCCAATTCCAATTGAAGGTCATATTAAATGGTATTATTTTCTGAGCCCTCAGCGCCTCTTAGCTACTGCTTCACATTGGTGGGGATCCCTAGGAGTACTAGCTTGAACTAATCGAGTAGGATGCTGGTAAAAAAGATAACTTCAAATGTGCACTCCTTTCTTGGGAAGATGTAACGAAAATCTTGAAATGGTAACTGTGGACTGGCTTTTGCACTTGCATTTTGCCTTTAAAGGTAAAAAGCTCCTACTGCCAAAAAACTATATCTTTTTTGATCGTGAATGAGTCAAAGTAAATAAAACAAAAGAAAAAGGATCAGTGTAAATGCTGATGAACTTCGCATATTTTATAGTTTTTGGGTGCAATTTTTGCTTTATTAAAAAGGATGAGCCGCATTCTTGACGCCCCCACCTGCCCTCCCCTGTCCTGGGCCTTGATGAATGAGGTAAATCGTAGGATATGCCTCCAAAAGTACATGATGGAAGACTGCTTGTACACTTACACTTATCCAATGACCAAATCCATGTTTCAGGATTCAAACTCTTGATGCGGCAGCTTCAAGCAAAGTTGAAGTTTTTCCACCTTCCCTTTTTATCACTTGGAGATGTGCCATGGGGACACAATTTTTGCTTTATTTCCTCTATATATTCTTGTTCTTATATACTAGTGGATGCACATTGGAACTGGTTATCATTCTATGTTGAGGATTGTTAAGTATTTAATCTAACAGTGCTTATGACCTTGTATTAGAGAACCCCATTTTATTACGAAAAAAAAAAAAATCCTTAGTCCCTTTACGTTCACATTTGTTCAACCTAATCAAGTTGGCTGGTGATTAATTACTTAAACATCCACAACAAAATCCTGAATCGTGTTGTGAACTTCCCAAGGACATCATTCCTAAACTTAGCCGACTTATTTTGATCTCGTTTCTTTGGCAGTAAATTTAAGTCTTCTTAAGTCAAGCTTGTGTTCTTTTGGTTGCATCCTGGAGGACTCACAGGAATAGAGCGACTGGGAAAGTGTTGGAATATAAACCCCAAATCAGCCCAACAGTAAAGCAGCCCAACAGCAAGTCCAGGCAGCCTCACCAACTTACCAGCATGTGCAACATCAGAACACGTTCATCAGCAACAGAATTTAGCTTATGCTTCCAGCTTTCTTCTAGTTTCTTCTAGTCTCTTCCTTTGTTTGTTAGATTGTTAGTTTGTTAGATAATTGGTTAGTATTTTCTTCTATAAATAGAATAGGTTGCAATGTATTTTCCTTAAGTTGAATGAATGTGAAGTTCTTCTTCTTCCCTGCTTATCAGCAGGTTTACTTCTATCCGGTTCTGGCTCTATAATTTTAGCTTCCTTTTCCTTGATTTTAAGATGGTATCAGAGCGGGTTTCAGATCTTTTGATCTGCAACTCATCTTCTTCTTTATCCTTTCTATATTGAATCTATCAAAACCGAAAAAAAAAATTCCCAAAAACAGAAAACACATATTCCCAGAAAAAAAGGAAAGTGACGGCTCACAAGATGCTCGACGAAATGTCGAAATGGATTTATTCATCTTTGAGGATTGAGTGTAGCAGATCAATTACCAGAGAGGTAATCTGCTATTAAATTCTGAATTGATTACCAGACAAACCGTCTGCAAACAAAATTGAATCTGCTGAACAGCAGAAAACTGAACTGAAGAAACCAGAATTTGAAGATAGATCAGATCTTCACAAATGGTTGATCTATTCCCAGATAGGGAGTCTCTGTGGTACCTTGAAGTCATGTATGTCTTCAACAAATACCAGCCTGCTTCCAAGAGTGAATGCACTGGCGAGAGATGATTGGATTTAAAAAAAATTGAATGATGAAACACATGGAATTTTATCTTCTGAATGAAGATATGAAGATGATTCGAAACAAGGAATTGTTTCATTGAAAATGAGCTTCCCAGGAAGCTCCAAAACCTGCAGCCTACCAGCCTTCAAAATGTTCTACCAGCCTACCAGCTCATCATCAGATCAGTTCAAAGTTTTGGACCTGCAATGATACTTCCTTCTTTGCTTGCATCTCTACTCTCCTTCTCTATGGTTCAAGATGTTCCATCTTGAGGGGGGAGTGTTGGAATATAAAGCCCAAATCAGCCCAACAGTCAAGCAGCCGAACAGCAAGTCCAGGCAGCCTCACCAACTTACCAGCATGTGCAACATCAGAACACGTTCATCAGCAACAGAATTTAGCTTATGCTTCCAGCTTTCTTCTAGTTTCTTCTAGTCTCTTCCTTTGTTTGTTAGATTGTTAGTTTGTTAGATAATTGGTTAGTATTTTCTTCTATAAATAGAATAGGTTGCAATGTATTTTCCTTAAGTTGAATGAATGTGAAGTTCTTCTTCTTCCCTGCTTATCAGCATGTTTACTTCTATCCGATTCTGGCTCTATAATTTTAGCTTCTTTTTCCTTGATTTTAAGAGAAAGAGCTATTTTTCAATAGAAGATTAGTTCATGGAGTCACCCCAGTTAGATAAGGTGTTTGTAAGAATGATATCAACTTCAACACTTCATCATTGTCCATGATTCGTGGAGGACACTTGGGGATTCATCAACTTGGAAAGGACTATTTTCAATAGAAGATTGGTTCGTAGAGTCAACTTGTTAGGGAAAAAAATGTGCCTTTGATGCCTGTTGTGAAAGTGAGGGATTGTAACTATAAACTCGTGCATCTCTTGTTGCTCTCAACTTTGTAAAGGTTTTAAGCACTTTCTCATTTACACATTGATTTGAAAGGTGAATTCTACATATAAGTGCTACTGCTATTAACATAATATTGTCCAGTTCCCATGAAAGATTTGACATGCGTGCATAAAAATACAGATAAAAAAAAGTCGAAAGAACAATTCCATTTCTACAGAAATGGATGACAGAGGAGTTTGACAATCTCTCACATGCGTGCGGACCCCACGTGATTAAAAAATTCCAAAAAAAAAGTGGGACCCCCTTGTGAGTGTTTGATCATCCATTTCTGTCAACCATTTTCTGTACAAATAACATGGTTGAAGTTGAAATTACTACAAAACTATAGCGGTAACTTCGACATATGACGTGAAGAAATGTGTTGAAGATACAACTCCGAAAGTATGGCTTCTCACGCATGCGGACAAAAACATGATGTATGTAAACACAAGACTTTACACTGTAAAGTTCTTTGATGTTCAAACTGAAGCTATAGTAGGTATACATATATACATAAACAGAGTAGAGGTGTAAAACAAGAAGAATGTCCCAGTTGGGACAGATCAAGTTGCCTAGAAAGGCATGCTCAGCCTAGTTCTCTAGTCTCGCGGCCTGCAGGACTTAGCAGGCACAGTTCTCTAGTCTCCATTTTGGGTACCAGGGGTTGATACCCAAGGGGACTAGACCTGTTCAGTAATCTCCCTTATTGATTATGATTCTTGGAGAAGGAGCGGTTTTTACGGTGGTTGAGCCACACAAAGTTCCTCGAGAACCAACGCTGCTTGCGCTTAGTATGGCGTGGCATCGGTTCTGATTCTGTTCTTCTTAGCATTTCCCACATTATCTGCACATCCTCGTACCCACAAGTTTGGATGTCATTGCGAAGTTTCAAAAGCCCGGCACCTAAAGAAAGCACAAGTTTAAAATGAATGAGAGAAATGAACTCTTGTTATGATCAAGTTTGTTTGGACCCTACTCTTCAACTCTAACTAGTTAAGGAATTAATTTCCTCTGTCGAGACAGGACTACATTCTAAGTTAACATAGTATGCTCCAAAAATTTTATCTTCTTCTCCTAGTCATTTCGATGGATGTCCTAAGTAGCAAACGACAATGTATCTGATTATTCGAGCAATAATTTGCAAAGTCACCGAAAAGTTGATAAATTTGTGTGGCTGACAAGTGAGTCCATGAAAGGTGCGTTGAAAATGAATTTCGTAAAAATGAATAAAAAAGAAAAAGAGGAGTTAAATGGCAGCCAAACAAGGGCATACTGTTAGCAATCAATCAACCAGCATTTATCTTTACACGCAAGTAAAATGAATAGGAAGATTGAAGGGTAAAAGAAGAATTTTTTTGAGCTTCTCAAAGGAGATAAACCCAAAATAAAAGAGAAATATAAATTAAAAAATTTCCAGTTGCTAGGATTGACAAAAATCAGTGAAACATTTGAACTTGAAGATTTCAACTTTTTTTTTCCTTAATCAGAGAAATAGAGAAACATAACTAACCATTTTTGCGAGCCCTGACACGTACAGATGCAGCACACCAAACTCTTCTGACTGGGAAAACCAGTTTGCGCCACCACTCCATTACCTCCCCCCCGGCGACTGAGTCGACTCAACACAAACCTTACTCCGGGCGGCCAGACTTGTGTTCCCTTCCCTTCGCTCCACACCTTTTATCCCAGAATGCAATTTCTGCATGCAAAACTTTATCTCTCTCTCTCTCTCCCTCCGTGCACTGAAGAGTCTTGTGAGAGTTTCTAGCTTTGGAGTTAAAGTGGATACTTTAAGCGTTATGCTACAGAGTGAGTCAGGCGTGGTCGCGTGGATTTTTAACGTGAATTCCCACCGACACGTGACAGTATGCGGTGGCCTTTTTTTCTAAGTTATAGAGACATTTGTTCTGACTTTGGCGCTCCATGTCTTTGAATTTTTTCTCCAAATTGAAAACTTGGTTTTGTGGGAGTGAGTGAACACAAATGATTTTGCACGGTCGGTTAATTATTAATATTAGAAAATGATATTCTATTGTTATTTGATTTAATTTAAAAAGCTGATAAAAATTTAAATTAAAAATTAATTTAGTCAAACATTTCATAGAATGCACAACTTTTATCAATTTTTAAAGGGAAAATTGCAATCAATGTATCAAACCCCTTACTTAGTTGGAGACTTTGCCCAAATTTTTCATTTGTGCCACCTAAGATACCAAACTTTTAAAAAAATACCGCTCCAGTCCAGATTGATGATTTCCATCTATTTGACTACCAAAATCGTTATTTAACCCCAAATATGAATTTTTTTTAAAAATAATTTTCACCAAATAGACAATGGTGATTTGAGCATTACACATATTCCCTTTCTATTATCGCACTTCACTGTTTATTTTTCCTCTACTTTCATGACTATTAATATCATTCTCTTTCCTACAGTTAGTCAGGAAAAATCAACACGTAGATGAAGATGAATATATGCAAATGTGGTTCCCCGGCGCATATGAAAACCTCATGGACGAACCTTAACCCAGGAAGAAGATTTCTTACTTATCTTTGAAGCCAAGATCTGGGTAAATGTACCATTTTTTGTGTGGTGTGACCCTTGAGAGATCTGTGGAGCTGATTCCATGTCTATTACGGGATATAAGGAAAATGGAAGCTGAAATCAACACCCTCCAAGCGACAAGATCAATGTGTGGAAGATTTGGTTGTTCGGCTTTGTGTGTAGAGTGCTTGTAAAATGGGTTTGTACCTAGGTATGTAGGATGGGTTTGTGCGATGGACGTTTTTAGCTTCAGAAATTTAGGTTTAGTGTTTAGGCGTTGGAGATTTTGTGTTATATGTTGTGATATGTGAATGTAAAATGTGGGTGTGTTGTACCTTTTTCTTTGAAATGAAGTGCCTATTTCTGTATTATTGCTAGTACTGACTTTCACATTTCCATTTTTACCCTTTGATTAACGAGAAATTAAAGTTCTAATCACACTCCAAACGTTTTGTGTGTGGTGCATCAAAGGTACCAAGCATTTTATTATAGTTGCAGTGAAAATACCAAACATTTTGTTATAGTTGCAGTTACAGTGCTAAACATTTGGTGGTGGTTACATTAACAATACCAAACCTTTTGTGATTGTTGCATAATAAGTACCAAAGCTTTGACATAGTTCTTAATTGTCTGCACCCGATATTCGATTAATACAATTTGAAAACCTGATGAAAGCATTGTGTAATACACGAAATTCAACTTCAATAGTCTATAACAACAAGTGTGACTATTCCATTCAAAATTCCAAGTCACTTTACAAGATCACAACATTTGTTGCATATGTTTCCAGTCCACATTTCAAAAAATACAGTACTTGCAAAATAATTGAAATTCACTTTACAAAATCATAATATTCACAAAATAAGTTCACTTCCCTACAAAACTATAAAGGATAAAACATATCATGTTGAAGATTTGGATATTTGATTCTTGGGCTTCTTCATCTGTGACTTTGAAGTTCTTTTTTATGGTGCTCTTTTCTTTCCCTTTGATGCACTTGACTGTGTATCTCGTTGAGACTCTGGTTGTGTGCTTGGTTGTGATTCTTGTTGTGAACTAGCTTCACCAGGCAATGGTCCCTTTGTAGCTTATTTTGTTATGTCTAGATCCGCACATCGTTTACACATCATCTTCATATTAGTCATTCCCATATTAATTCACGTAGGTTGCTCAATCTGTGAGCTCTTTCTCATTTTTTTGGGTCTGATTGCCTTTTTTTCTTCTGCGATTGATTCAGATGGTGCTTTCCAAACTCTAGCCATAGCTCAGGTCCTGACAAAGGTTGGGTTACTGGGAGTAACACATGAGATATGTTTCATTGCTATAACCCGGATCAATGTAGTCATATATACCCATATCCCTTGAAAGCATGCTTGATATTGCATATGGACATGGTATTCCAGTCAGCTGCCATTTTCTGCATGCACATTTATATTTTGTCAAATCAACACTCCACCTTAATCCACCTTTGTTGGATATCTCAAACTTATGACTACTTGCATAGTCCGCCTTCAAGTACCTCGCCCATCCTTAGCATTCACAATGATTTTCATTACTCTTGACCCAAACACATGATCCCACCCTTGTGCTTATTCCCTTTTTTGCATTCATTTTTATCATTTACTAATGTTTGATTTTTTTCAATATTGAGATGCTGGGCTTCTCTCTAGCGACAACAATGGAAGAATTGAATGTCTCGCACAAGTTATTTAAAAGAATATCACACTTGGAATGCTCTTGAAAATGTGATTTGCTCCATTGGGAAGGTGATTTTTCATTGAACCAGTTGCAAGCTTCTTCATTAACATCTTTCAACTCATTCATTGCATTCCTCCACTCTGGCACAATTGTTGCCATAGCTGCAGCCCAAAACAAGTTCTTAAGGCCCAAATTGTCGTATACCAAAGTAAAATTAATGAATAAATGTCTAACACAACACCCGTGTTTAGTCCCTTCACAGAATTGACTTATACAATCCACTTGATGCTTTGAAATCTCATACATGCAATCTTCTTTTACAGTTTTCACAAACTGCTTTTTGGCAATTTGGCCCATTGGGATCAGACCTAAACTTTCTTATATATTTTTTTGCCAGATAACCTGCATTAACCCTTTTATTTTGTCACATAATGGTACATGTGTGCTCATCTATGAATGTGTCAATTCTAAGACTATTGTCTGGTTGTTGGTATGCATATAGAACCCAAGGACAATTATCTTGGCATCTAACTCTCAATCGTGTCATCATATTTTTCATATATTTGAGTTGTCTGTAATTTTTAATTGAGTACTAAATTATTGCAAACCTTAAAATCTTGACATTATCAAATTTCATCCCTGTAAGAAATGAATAAATATTGTTATCAATTACATTTTAAAATAAGTAAGTAACTATGTATGACAAATACATTACATAACTTGAACTTGGGATCATCCATATCAGTTGTAGGGTTAAACTAGCACTCATTCATCCCTCCAGCAGATGATCCCTCTTGTCATTGTATAAGCTCCTAAACTCATCCGAGTCGTCATAATTTGCTCCAAATTTTTCTTGAGGAACTGCCTCACCTTCCTGCTCACCTTTCCAGTATCTATGTCAATATCAAAACCTTCACTCAACTTGAAATCTGTGTTTTCATCATTGTCATCCATGTATATAAATTCTTCCTGCTCATACACCGAGTCATTGAATTCCTTAAAAACCTCTTCATATTCATCATCTATGGAATCTACTTGCACATCAGATACATGATTTTCTTGCTCAACATGATGATTTGTTTCAGTGTCAATATATGGTTCAGTTTGCTCTGGTTGCTTTAATTCAGCCTACACCACAGGTTCAGTTTGCTCTGGTTCAATATATGGTTCAGAGTACTTTGCGTGCTCTGGTTCCACATCAGTTTGTCCAGCATGTACCTCTTATTGACAATGCGCAGCTTGCACTTCTGATTGACCATGTTGAACTTCAGTTTCAACAGCATGCACCTCTGATTTAGCAAACAACACGTCAGTTTCACCAGCCCACTCGCACTTCAGGTAAGTCTGCTTCAAAACCACCATCAAAATCCATACCAACCACTGGTTCAGCCCTTGTTAAATCAATCTTTATTTTCCCAACCTCTGCTTCTGTTTGACCAACATCAGTTTTACCAGAATAAGCTACTCATCTACTTCCATGTCATCTACTTCATCAACTATGTACAAGTCGTCACCTTTTAATGGATCATCATAAATTTCAATAGCATAGCATGGTTGCTTTTCATCCACTGGTTCATCATGCACACTAAAATTTTCAACGTTGACCAACTCCTCACCAATCTCACAATCAATCACATAAATATTTTCATCATATGGCAACTCCAAAACCTCAACTATGGCAAGCAATACAATTCAGCCATCCTACTTTCACCAAGTCACTTCACTACATTCATGAAATCTGAATCTTGACCAACCAGAATGATGATTCACTCAATCCCTTTTTCTCCATCTTGTACAGATATCTGATTCTAACAGAATATCTGATTCTACCAGAATATCCCAACATCTTCATGACATTGTCAAGAAGAAATCTATTGAAAAAAATCAGGGTCGATATAGTCTAAATAACTTACTTTACCATGCTTGTACACAAAAATTCCTCATCTTTTCAAATAAAACTCCACCATTATGTAGGCATATGTTAAAATGTTTTGTATTTTCCCCTAAAAAAATGAAAACATTAAAAATCAAGCACTAACCCTTTTTAGTTCAAGCAATGCACATGTACACAACAAGCTATTACACAGTATATTAACTCTCAAGTTATCAAATCACTCAACATTTTCACATTTTTCAGTTCATGAAGACAATTTATACGCATGGATTGAAATAACAACATTTCATACCGTAAATGGGAATTCTAGGGAGCACACTTACCATAAACAAGTTGGGGGAATAGAGCCTCGAATATGGTTGCAAAATCTGATGGAAGATCATCTCCTTCCTCGTATCTGTCATCTTCATCTTCATGGATTTTCCTAGGTTCCATAATGGATAATGAAATGAAAAGTAGCTGACATTTTTTTATTTTAAAGGGAAAACGTGTAATGCCCGAATTGCCATTGTCTATTTGGTCAAAATTATTAATTTTTTTTTATTTTTTGGGTCAACTAACGATTTTGGTAGTGAAATAGACGGAAATCGTCAATTTGGATTGGAGCTGCAATTTTTTTAAAAAAATATGGTACCTCAGGTTGCATAAATGAAAGGTTTGAACAAAGTCTGCAACTAAGTGAAATGTTTGGTACATTGACTGCAATTTTCCATTTTTAATTATATATTTAATCATTTTTTATCGAAATTTACTAAAATTTGATTTTTAGCGAAACAGTTATTATTTGTTGTGTTCAATTATATAAAAATTTCTTATATCTAATAATTATTTGTTTATTGATGTGGTCACTTGTAATGAGTTGGTTTAAATGAATAAGCCCTTTCCTTCTTGAATCACCGAGAAGGAGAAACTTCTATTATATTTCTGTAGTAGATCATTCTAGCTAACATGATCTTTTCACCAAATTTAGAAAGAAATTTTCGAATGCAAATACTTACGACCTTCTCAAATATAAGTCAACATTTGGAATATTTATAAATAAGAATAGTAAGATGAATAATTGTGGAACTCATGAAATGTGTAGATAAAAAATGAGCATTATTATGAACGTATAGTTGAAACTAAGCTCATGTTTGAGTCACATTCTTTAAAATTTCATTTTTCTTCCGAACTCATTTTTAATCATGCATTCTCTCAATAAATTAAATTTACACATGAACCCAATTTTTTTTTTTATATTTTCTAGTTGCACATTCTCCAAAAAATCATTATAACAAAATCTATTAACCCAAAAAAATGGGGTTCAAACAAACTTTAATTTTGACTTTGCTCGAATTTATAAATAAGTAATAAATTAGTGCCAAACGAAGGCTAAGCTGAAAATATGCAAATACATTCCCAAAAGATACATACCCGTCTCACCGAGAAGCTATTTATAAAAAAAATTCGATCTCAAGTTGATTTGTGATTATGCTAGTCTTGGTGTAAGAATGCTATGTAAACACAACTAACAAATAATCGAATCCTTCTTCTTTAGTCATGGAAAAACCTTTTTTATAGTCTAAGCCCATGTTTGATGGTGATTTTTAATCTAGATTTTTATCAAAGTTATATTTAATAATTAATTTTAATCACATATTTCATAGGTCTCAAAACTTTTCAACCAAGCATTTTATAAATTTTTATCAAAATCTGCTAAAAAATTGATTTTAATCTTTACCAAATAGGACTAAATTTCTTTCAGGTATCCCAACCTTCCATTCCCGACAAGCATATACTCAACTTTTAGACAATATGGGCACAATATCCCCATTTGAGAGAAAACGTTTAATTAGAAGTTAAATGACAACGCGATACTCACATCGTGTCTAATTGAAGGAGTAAAATTGTTCCAAAAAAATAGCAATGTTTGTAATTTCAACATGGGTGGCTATATGGAAACAGCAAGAGAAATTTGGTACAGCACTTTTTAATTACACAAAAGGTCCCTTGACCTTTGCTCGTTGTATGTCATCAACTTTTTTCATCGCATTCTTACCCACAATATTTCATAAGTTAGCACATGAAGTCGTAGATGACAATTTGCATTCAAAAAATTTGTTAGGCATAAAAGGACTTTATGGTCCTCATATTTTCAAAAATAAATAGAAAATAAAAAATCGAGACATAATATTTGCCCCTCATTTCAAAGCGCACTAACATAATAGTTAGATATATGATAACATAAGTGCAATAATAGAAAATATTCTGTCAGAGACCAGATTTGTCAATTATAAAATATTGGAATGAGAACATAAAAAAATGAAAAGAATATAAGTGTGACAATAAATAAATGATGAAGACCTTAAGTAAAATTGAAGAGTGGTGCACAAAGAAACTATGACGACAATATAACCACCATTTGATTATTCACAGTGTGATTTTTGGGATAATATAAATCTTTTGTGAACAATTTTAACCTTTTGCTCAAATATGGCCGCCTTAAGATTTAACTTTTAAATAAATATTTTCGATTAGGTGAAGATGTTGCTTGCACAATATTATTAATAATTGAGAATATAAGTATCACAAATCAATTGTTGACGATATCATTGCCCTGTTATTGAAAGTTGAGAACCCGGATCGAAATTTACCATTTTTTTTTAATTATAGAATTAATCTATTTGTACCAAGTTTGTTGACAAAGATAATTGACAAAATTAGGTGTAAGGTTTGGATGAATTTTAATTAACAGATGAGATTCAATTGGCCATTATCTTATTATTTATTTCTTTATATGTTTTAGTTATTGTCCATTATACCCTTACCTTTATATTTTAATTATTTTTCCGCATTTTACCCCTATAATTGGTATCAGAGCCTAGTAACGAAACTAAAGAAAATTTTTAAAATGAATAGAAAAGATAAAATGATTTTAGAAGAATTACAAAATATTAATATTTTAACTAATACTAATCGAATTAAATTACAAGAATTAGCAACAAATTTAAGTATTAAATATAAATCTCTAAGTGAAGAGATAAAACAAGTAAATAGTCTTCAACATTTAGCAGAAATAAAAAAATAAAGGATTACAAATATTAGTAGACGAATTATCTGAGACAGGCTCAAATTTTGAGCTTGCTATAGAAGAAATTGAAGAACCAGAATTTGAACAAATTTACATGAATCAAGAAATTATGGAAACCATTGAGAATACTTTAGATAATGAAGAAGGAACTTCACAAACAGTTATGTTTGATGAAGAAAAATATGGAGCCATAAAAGAAAAACAAATATCTTTAAAAGATAAAGATGTTTTTGTAAGACCAATATTACCTTGGTTTAACAAAACCATATATATTGCCAAATATGATGAAGTACCTATTAACATCGAAAATGTTAAAGGTAACACTACTATACCTCTAATAACCAGAGAATGGGTTAATAAAGAATTAGCTAAGATAAAACCCTCAACTAGAGAAAGATTAAAAAATATTGTGATTGGAGGAGTACAAATAATGGTTAAAGGATACTTTAGAGAAGGAATGGATATTCCTATACAAATGTACTTGATGGATAACAGAATACTTCATGATCCTATGGATGCTTTATTAGGAGTTGTATCTGGAAATCTAGTATATAAGAAAATTATATTTACTATAAGACCTGGATTTGCCATGTCTTTATTAGATGAAAACTTAAGTCTAGGATTAAATCTATATCATAAAATTGATAGATTAATTATGCCACCAAGAAGTAAAGCAGTAACTTTACATTGTAAAGCTTTATATGCTTTTACTACTACGCACCAAAAAGAAATCAATAAAGTCTCAGGAGACTTCATACAAATCCATGAAGACTTTAAAGATCTAGCACAATTTACACCGCCAAGAATGTTAAGTAATAATAACATTTCATTACCACAAGACATATTGCTTGATTTTCATCAGCAATCTAGAAGAATAGACAATAATGTAGGAAATCAAGGATTAGTCACCTTAAATACCTCTGGACAACTTCTTGTTAAAATGCCTAGCAGAAGAATAGAAAGAAGTATCAGTACTAGAGAACTCTCAAGCTCTAGTAGACCATCTACAAGTAGAAATTATCCAATAATGCCTAGAAATAGTATTGATATTGACCTTAGAAGGTGTGAGGAAGATAATTTCCTTATCCTAACAGAATATATCAATAATCAAAATAAATACGAAGAAATTATAGCCCTTGTTAATACAGGAGCTAGTACTAGTCACATAAGAGCAGACTTAGTAGAACATTTAACAGAAGAGAATTTACCACAAGGAATAACTCTTACCGATTATCACGGAATTAAATACGAAATTAAAACATTTGTTAATCTCGAACTAAGTTTCACAGATATAGAAGGAGAACAATTTAAATTAAATCTTAAAATCCATAAAGATTATAGAAAAGGAAAAGATACTAGTCCAATATTACTTGGAATGAACTTTCTTGAGAAAGTCTCACCATTTCATATACAAAAGAATACTCTACAAATAACTATAGAAGGCAAACAAAAAATAATTCCTAGAATTACTAAAAACAAAGAACCAATTTATATGATACAAGGAATCAGATCAATCAAAACTAGTATACTTAGTCCATATATTGAGATAACTCTCAATTTACCAGACTATTGTATGATAAAATTTCATGCCATAATTGATACTGGATCAGGTATTTGCCTATGTAAAAGAAATGTGTTCCCAGAACATTATTATAAAAGAGATTATAAGAAAACAACTTATGGTCAAACAGCAAGCGATATTGTAGAAATTTATAGAGATTTTGTAGAAAATGTTCCTATAATTATAGGTAATAGAGAATGTTTTATTCCACGAATATATGCAACAGATAAAATTGGATGTGATATCCTTTTAGGAGAAAATTTTATCTATACATATAGCCCCTTTACACAATATAAAGATAGTTTTGAATTTACTACACCTTGTAATCACAAAATTAAAACACCAAAAATCTATAAAGCTATTGGAATTGCACATCAACCTATTCACCATAGACCTAGACATCAGAGTTCTGCAGGTAATCGTGGTGGATGTTATACAGAAATTAATCAAAAACAAAAAATTCCAGTATTAAGAATTGAAAATTTAGAAGAAGAATTAGAAAATATTAAATCAGAACTAAAAGAATGTTATCATGAACATCCCTTAGCCAAATGGGACAAAGATAAACCTATGGCAACCATTGAGTTAAAAGATCCAAATGCTAAGATATCAGGAAAACAATTTCCTTATAGTGAAGAAGATAAGAAAGAATTTGAAATACAAATTAAAGAACTCTTACAATTAGGAGTGATAAGAGAATCAACTAGTCCATATAATAGTCCAGCATTTATGGTTAGAAATCATAGTGAAATTAAAAGAGGAAAAGCTAGAATGGTAATTGATTATAGAGACCTAAATTCTAAA